AAAAAGAGGGAAAAAAAGAAAAAAAAGGAAGAGATGAAAAAGAATTACATTGTTTTGATTAAAAATAATTGTCGAATTTTTCGATATATATAATTATATAGTTTAATTAAATTAATTGAAATAATTAGTTATATATATATATTATTTTTTTTTTCACGAAAAACTCGGTAATTATTCATTTCATATCACTATTTCTTTCTTTATTCGAAAAATTCATCAATATTAAAATCAAAGAAATCGAAAGAGAGGATAAATATAAAGAAGAGAAAGAAAGAAAAGGAGATGAGACTAACAAACTAGAGGAAGAAAAATTAGAAAGAAACAAAAATCAGAGAGAAAAAAAGAAAATGATCGTAAAAGCAGCAATAAATATTGACACGGTATTGAAAACAAAACAAATGACGAAAAATGATGTATGAATTTAATTTAAATTTTAAATAATAAGAAAATATATATTTAATTGATATATTCGCGAATTCAATGATATTATTAAGATTTGCTTGTATCATTAATTATTTGATAAGTTAAAATTTAATTATTAGTTATAATTCAAATTCGTCTCATGCTCAAGAAATTAAATTTGTGGAAGTTATTACTTTTAAAATTATTTAATGCAAATTAGGCGACAAATAAAAAAATAATTCGGCTGACTTAATCGACAATAACAATGTTAATTAATATTAATTAAAGTTATAAAATCTATCACGAAAGCTTCAGTGAACAATATTTTATGATATCATCTGTTAATTGATATTGATTAATATCTCTATATATCTTGCAGTTGTTAACAAATAATATTGATTAATGATCGATTAATAATCGATCTCGATAATTTTACATATTGTTTATCGGATTTGATATTAAATAATATTAAAGCCGATTATACTGATGATTATAAATCAATACTTATTCATCATCAATCGTTAAACCAATACCAGTCAATATCGAGACTCTGAGGTTTGTCTATCATTATCTGTTAATTTCAATAATTGTTTGAATTCTGCGGAAATTTTACATTTCTTTTTTAATTAAAATGTTAACATCGAGGAGGTCTTCGAGCGCAGAATAAAATTTACAAAAGGAGTCCCTTAAGTAACGCTTGCTTGAAAAAGAGGAAAGCAGAGGAGAGACCGAGGATAAAATACAAATAATAATGAAAACAAAAAATAGGTGTTATTTTTAGATGTCTATTAGATTATCAGAAATCAGAAAAACTAAAGGATTAAAAAAAAAGATGCTTAAGCAGAAAAAGGAATAAAAAAAAGGACAACCTACTATTAATACTACTATTATTATTACTACTATTACTACTATAACTATTACTATTATCGCTGCTATTACTACAACTACTACTACTACTACTACTATTACTACTACTACTACTACTACTACTACTACTACTACTACTACTACTACACTACTATTACAGTACTCGTAATAAGGATTTAAAGGATGTAGGTAAAACTTAGTTGATGCGATTTTTAGCGGGATACGAAATAAATTTAAATTTAATTTTCTATTAATCAAGTAAGATTTTAATTTTAGTTCGATTGTTTAATTTGAGAATTTAATCGCGATTTGTACAATCGTGAATTAAATTCGGATTTTTTTCTACTTTAGCCCATAATTTACACATATATAAGATTTTTTAAATCACGGATAGATAATACATAGATATATGTACATGTTAATTTTGAAAATATTTACATTTTGATTTAATTTTGATTATTGTAAAGATGTATGAAATCGTAAAATATAAATTATATATATATATTAAATTCGAGTTTAATTTCTCGATTAATACAATTCTGATTTAAATTTCAATTTTACTTTGAGACAGTATGCGAATTAAATTTGAATTTAATTTCGATCAATCCTTTGGAGTGTCGCTTGGGGACATCTTTTTCATTGTTCGACGTTTTGTCGCTTTCATTGTTTAGATAATTAAAGGATGGAGGATAGACATACTCACACCGAAGAAATGAGTGTGGCGACAGATTTCTCGTAAATCCTTGAAAACCGAGATCGGTTTTCGATTACACCTCGAAGATCGTCCTCCTTTAAAGTTTCCCTTTGTGGATACCATTCAAGGAAAAAATTATTATTGCAACGGAAATTTTGCAAGGTTTTATCCTTTATTAGCATTTTTTAAATTGAGTATCCCCGAACAGCTCATTTTTCCAGTTATTTATAATGACAAGCTATTGGTGTCTCAACATTAAGAAAAAAAACAATGGTTATATATGATACTTAATATAATTGAGTGTTTATGTATTACCTTGTACATTGAAGTGATGTACTTGTAAAGAATGGACTAAATAAAAAATAATAAATTAGGGAAAACTTAGAAAAAGCTATCGATGTATCAACATTTTTGTGGGCGCGATAGTTAATCCCTGTACGTGAGAAAAGCGATGTTCTTATAAAAGGAAAATAAAGAGTATGAAGCAAGTTAGAAGAAGCAACTATTTAATAGAAGTAATAATATAGAAACACGCTAATGAGAAAAGATAAAGTGAGAAAAAGAGACGAGAGAGTGGGGAGAGGAAGGCGAATTTTGCGTGGCGATACTCCTTCAGACGAAAAGTGCGGTCCTTTTCTCGGTCGTTGTTGAGTCACGCAAGTCCCACACAGGAAAATGAGGATTCTCACCCATTCTCTCAGCTCTCCATGAAATACAAGACGATGGGAGGATGATCTTCGAGCAAATTTGGCGTGATAAAAGAGAGGAAGGGCAAAATAATAGTATGAAGGCGATGATAATAATGGATAGTAATAAACAAAGGAAAAGTGATAATAATGAGATGCAGTGAGTATATTCTCGTTAAGCGAGAAACTATGTTGAGGGTTGTTGCGAAGTTTCGTCAATTTTTGCGTGGCAATTTCTAATTTCCAAGATTCAAAGATCCTCAGATTTCGATGATTGAAAGATCTACAGATTCAAAGATTTCTAGCGAAGAAAATGTTTAAAGGATAAAGCGATAGGGAAAATTTATCGCCTTCGCCTATAATTATCTCTTCGCAAAGTTTTAGTTTAGGATCTAGAATTTTTTGGATTAAGAAATCCGAACATTTTAAAATACAAAAATGTAAGAATGTTTTATTTAAATCTTTTCAGGATTTAAATAATTGATATATTGACAGCCCAGAGGAGAATCCCGATAATCTTGATTCTGATTTCCTTTGAAATCTTTAAAATCCATGTAGGATGATAAGAGGTCATAAACGTTGAAGGTCTTAATTCAACAAATGGATCAAAGAATTTTCAAAGATTCAAAAGTATGAATTTAGAGTAAAATAGATTTAGAGGAAAAGTCTCAAAGACTCAAGAATATCGGAGGATATGGATTTAGAATAGAAAGATAGGTATTTCAGGATTTGAATATCCAGGGATTTTATGATTACGCGCAAAAATTGGCGAGCATTATTAAAACAGATGATCTAAACAACAGAAAAGTAAATAAATCGACGACAAGATCACTTTAATAAGCAAGCTAGCAGCAAAGCAAAAGCAAAAAAAAGAAAAAAAGAGACGAATTGTAACAAGTAGGATGAACTATATACTCGTCGGTTATTTTCCTTAGCTCGGATTAATGACAGTTTAACAACGTCATGTCGTCCAGTGATATGTGTCAGATGTTTGCCTGAAAATCTAAAATTTGCATCTCAAAGCGTGTCCATTGATTCTTTAAAGTAGAATGAAATGGAATAACTGTATAATTGGCATTGGAGTGATTAAAATATTTCTGTATTTTGCTTTTGATAACTTTTTTGAGAAAAAGTTCAATTTTCCAACTTTATGAACAATAAAAGAAATAAAATTCCATTATTGTGTTTCAGGCTATAAAGAAATTATCTAATTTTTTTATCAATATAAGAAAAGACAGATATTAAAATAAAGATCATCTTAATCTTAATGAGATCGTCTTTTAATAAATATTATATTATAGTTTTGGAATTATTTTATATGAATTATTTTTTATTTTTTTTAATACATATAAATATATAACAATCAATATACCAGAGCAAAGAAAAGCAGAAAAAATAAGATAAAAATTAATTCAAACAAAATAATCAAGAAATGACAATATAATATTTATTAGAGATCAAATCGACGATCAAATGTTTATATAATGTCCTAATACATATAAAAAATAGTCAACTGCATATTTTAAATTATATATATAGAGCTGTCACTTTACGAGATTCATTTTGAGTTTTATTCAAATTCACAAATATAACAATTTAATTTGTCTAAATTAATATATAAATGTGGAAAAGCAAAATCTGGTTATTTGATATACAAATAATCCATTTCATTTTACATGAATTGCGAACAATTAAAGTCGATGAGAGTGAATGAGAGAGTGAAAGAGAGAAATAAAAAGAGAGAGAGAAATTCGAAAGACACAGATGAGAGAATATAATGTTATAATGTAATATTTAAACGAATGTGCAAGTGTGTGAGTGTACGGTTTTAGACGATGAAATATATCTAAGATCTGCGAGAAAGTTTTATGAAAAAACGGAGAAGCTTAAGCGGAAGCAAAAATACAATTATAGAGCGCAACACGATGGTCGCAATAAATGAAGTTAACGATAAAACGAGAATATTGAAAGCGATGCAAAATGTTCGCATTCTGAAAATCGTTAGTTTAGAGTCACAGAATGTAAAAGGAAGAAAAAAAAATATAAGAATAAAAATATAAGATTATAACATCTCTTAACGAATACTTAAACATCTTGCATCGCGATTGAAGTTGCTTGCGTGAATTTTGTGCGATGATTCCGAAATGAAGCGAAGAGAGTACGATCAGTGATTTGAACATGATTTGATGGATGGATTTAATTAAGAAAGCATTTCTGTCAATTCGTCGATACTGTCGCGATATTCGATGATCGATAGTAGTTAATGCTTAGATGGAGATGGATACGTGAGAGAGATTAGATTGATTATTGCGAATTATTACGGTTAAAATATGCTAATTGGTTGACTGTCGTTGAGCGAAGTAAGACGACTGTTGAGGAAGAGAAAGAAAAAAAGAAGGGCAACCATCATTTATTATATATTATTGTACATATTTACTTGTAATTGCTATTCGTATCGCAGAGGTTCTGTTCTCTCAAGATCATTTCTTCGATGATTCAGCGGAAAAGAAAACAACAAAAAAAAATGTGAATAAAGTTAGATTTGTGTATTACTGAACCAATCCCTCTTCTCATCTCTGTAGAATAAGGAAATATAGATATTAAGATAGTTGTTCGAGAATAAGAAAAAAATTAACTATTGCAATGTTGAGAGAAATAATCGAATTCTAAACGTCTGAATTTTATACAATATTACTATAAAGTAAAAATATTGCAGGAACTTATAAAATTATTGAAAATTTATTTATAAAATTATTGAATATCTATTTACGATCAGAAACACGCGTTTCTAAGTACGACATGATTCTTTAATAAAAATATACATTACTTTTTATGAAATACACTCATGAGAGTTTAAAGAAAGTTTATAATAATTTTAGAAATATAATTTGTTATAGAAAATTTGAAAAAGAAATAAGTATATTACTACATGAATTACTTTAAAAATAAATCAATAAAGGAATCTATGAGATTTAAAATTTATAAATTGTATCAATCGTTGATTACAAAGAAGTTTAAGATTATTCCGATCAGAGAAACTGAGAAAGCATGCCTTACGCGATAATCAATTAATTTTTCTCGAAAAAAAATTTGTAGCAAATATAATAATTGATTAATCGTATCGCTTACCGTTATTTTATATGTAAAAGCCATAACTCTCAGTTTTTTCTCTGCCAAAAAATTACGTCGCATTAAGCGGTAGAAATAGAAACACATTTTTAAAATGAATCAATATTCATATCTAATTTCATATGAAGAAGCACTCTCGGCTGCAAGCGCGTACTACATCCAATAGAAAAATTTATTTCTTAGGGATAAGAGTCATTAGTTAATATCTCTAAAAAGCGCGCGTTTTCATTGGTTATTGCAAAATCTCCAATTCGCGTTAGATGGCGCGCTCATGCCGACTTGTTATTGGTCAGTGACGACCTTTGAGATGGCATGGCGGCGTTCGACGCGCAATGCGCATGCGCACGTCGCGAACGCGGTCAGTAGGTTGCGTTCCGACCTCGTGACGTGCTGTCGTGATCGTGAGAGGTTTGGCTTCGGCTTTGGCAGAATCTCGGGTCGATTCAACGGCGAAGGAGGTGCAGTCAATCGTCGATGCTATCTCGAGTTACAAGTGCGCAAAATGGCGCCGACGCGTGTAATTCTGATGTCGTGCGGCAGCTATAATCCACCGACAAATATGCATCTGCGAATGTTCGGTACGTATATATCCATTCGTTGACATTTTATTCGAATAGCGCCGTTTGTATTGAACAGTGAATGTCGCGTCATGTCCCACCATCGCGCGTGACGTCACGTCGATGTCACGCGTACGAATTGTCAACACGTTCGCGTAATGCGATCTTTCTTTATATTTTCTTTCAATTTTTTTCTCCATTACCTGATTGGAAATACTGAAAACATGACTAATTATAAATAAACAAATATATAGTAAATATGCAGTATAAATTTTCAATTCTATATTTATACATTATATTATACATATATACATACATACATACATATATATATATATATATATATATATATAAATATATATAAAATTAATATAGAACATGTACAGTTTTTTTATTTATATATACATTATATATTTCAGAAATTGCTCGAGATCATTTACATCGAATGGGAACACATATCGTTGTTGGTGGAGTGATTTCTCCAGTGAATGATGCATATGCCAAGAAGGAACTAGCCAGTGCAACACATAGATGCGAAATGTTGCGATTAGCATTGCAGAATAGTGATTGGATTCGACTGAGTACATGGGAAACTAGACAGAACTGTTGGACCAAGACTCGCTTGTCCTTGCAACATCACCAAAATCTGCTCAATTCTATGCTATGCAATTCCAATGATATCAAACATCACATGCAGATGGATGACACAGAATGGATTCCAGAAAATGTTAAAAACAGTTCAGATAATACACCAATACAAATTAAATTACTATGTGGTGCAGATCTTCTGGAAAGTTTTGGTATTTGTGGACTTTGGCTTGAAGAAGATGTGAGTTATATACAAAATGTATCAGAAATAATTGCTTTGGAAATGGATGTTTATTGATGTATGAAGTTCATTTTTTTTTTAAATGAGATTTTAATTTCATTTTATTTTCTATAACTGATCAAATTTATAATTTAGAAATAAATTTTTTAAATTATTAATAATTGCAAGTTATTTCACGAAAGTTCGAATAAAATAATGAAAATCAAAACAAAAAATTAATTGATTTTTTCGTTGCAGATTGATGCTATTGTTGGTGAGCATGGTCTTGTGGTTATTACTAGAGAAGGTTGCAATCCGAACAAATTTATCTATGACTCAGATATTCTCTCCAAACATATGGTAAATATAATTTATTATATTTATTTAACTAAAGGTTCTTATTAAATTATATTTGCTTGCACTTTATAGCATATCACATTATTATATTATTTTTATAGTATAATACACGAAAAAAAAAATTATTTTTTATTGTTTATGATATCTATTTTGCAAGTATTGGAAACAATAAATTGTATTGTGAAAAAATTTTGTTAGGAAGAGTTAATAGATTACCTTATAAAATATTTGGCATATTCTAAGTAAATGTCCGGAACTCTAAAACATTAATTTGGACAAACAAACTTTGAATTTAAATAAATTTTGTTAACAAATATAATTATTAGATTATATGAAAGAAAGAGATCCTCTTGAAATTATTGAAAAAATAATACTGATAATTACTGGTTAATACTAGTACTTACAACTATTATGTATAAAGTTAATCTTTATAAGCAATCTTAGATATTTCCATGAATTTATTTCCAACTATTGCAAAATTAATTTTTTCGATTTATTTTTCATTTTCAGCACAATATTTGCATTGTAACTGAATGGATACCAAATGAAGTCAGTTCGACGAGAATTAGGCGAGCTCTGAAACGCAGTCAGAGCATCAGGTATCTGCTGCAAGACTCTGTCATTGATTACATTTACAAGCATGAAATTTACGATGCAAGAGCGCCAAATACAACAATGTGAGTTTCGAATATCCTGTTTAGATTTTTGCACTTTTTCAAGCAAAATGAAAATAGGTTTTGTGATATTTTAGCAAATAATATACATATATATATATGTAGGTTTTGTAAATATTATTTGTGGCTTATATTGTCACACATAATTTTTTACACATTTTGTAAAGAAGATAATATATTATTTTTGTAACAATAAAATTTGCCAATGATATAAAAAGATGTAATAACATTATGCACAATAGCAAAGATTTTAATAATCTAATGAAAAAGTGATTAAAGGTGCAGGTCACATAATTAAAACATAAAATTATGATATATTAATTTAATTTAAAAATTTAATTGAAAATTAAAATATATAAAAGTGTATGGATAGAAAATAAAAAACTATAAATAATTATGAAATTCTTCAAAAAATCTAGCTAAACTAGGTTTGTGAAAAATTATATTATTTAATTAAATAAGATAATTAAGTAGATGCCGATTTTTAATTATATTGCTTTTTATTTAGAATTTCATTTCTTGATTCTGAATCAATGTGCATCTATGAAAATGTTATATCTTTTTTATATTATGGCAACAATTATAGAGCAATTTCGATTGTATAAGATCAAATACTTAAAAAGACAATATATGTATATATAGCCACATATATTACTAAATTTAAAGCCGATGTACGATATTCCGTTATATCATATTTCTTAATCTAGTCTTCTTGCCTATCTTTCATCAAAACGCACAATATTTAAGAAGAATTAATATTTTGTTTACTATATTTAATTCAAATGTATAATATTTTGTAAAGAATTATGTTCTGTTTATTACAATTTAAGAATTTTGTTTGAATATGCATTTTTAATTTATTTAAATTCTGTATGGGTGTATATATGAGTTTTCTTTTCTCTCAATTAGAGAGAGAGTGTAAGATTATTTTTTGCATATTTTTAAGATAATGTTAGAAATATATATATGTCACCTCTTTTCAATATGAAATCTTCTAAATTGCATAATATTAAAAAACATTGCTATTATATTAACAATGAAAAATATATACAAGCTTATCTATAAAGCAATTAATTAAAATTTATTTTTACATCTTTAAATCTCAATAAATTTTTTATGAAGGGTTTATGATATCTGATATTAAGAGATGATATTGATAGATGATATTGAGAGTTGACAACATCATAATTAAGTTACTATTAAGACTGATATTAAATAACTTTAAATAATTCTATTCACTGACTGGGAAAAAATTAAAATTATTGCGATTACATTTTTTGAAATAATATTTAAGATTTTATTGGCAATGAAGATAAAAGTATAGAGGTTTGTTTGTTTCATTTTAAATTAAGATTTTAAAGATAAGTCAGTGAATCGAATTTTGAAGAAACAGCTCAGTAATCGCGTAAAATTGTTACGACCTTATCCATTCCATTTATTGCAATAAGGATACGATAAGTAAAGCTAAAATAGTAGATATATAAATAAACTTTTTAATTGAAATTGAAATACATATCATTATTAATAAATTCATTAATTTCTATTAAATTATTGAATAATATATTAGATTATAAAAAATTCAAAAATATTATTACATTTTTCTAATGATGCATATATATTTTGTTTCCACGAAGATTTGAAAATTAATTGATATATGATTTGATATTTTACATGCAATAATTTTTAATAATTCATAATTAAAGCGAGTAAAGAAACGTGATGAGATCGTAACGAGTTTGCGCTGCTGAATTGTATTATACTAAAGTGCGATTAAAAAAACTGAATATCCTCTAAAAAAAATTGTCGTGTTTTTCACGCTGCCGCTGCCGATTGGACATCAAAGTAAGTTGGAACTGCCGTCACCGAATGCGAACAATTACCTGCACATAGATCCCCGATATCTAACCGCGTTCCTAACGCCGTCACCCAGCGATGTGACTATGGACTCGCCGAGCCCGATTGAGATTGCCGCGTCCATCGACGTGCCGGACGCGGTGGTGCTGCGCAAAAATCTGCAGAATACGGGCAGTGGTGGCGGGCTCGACGAGATTCGCGAACACATCTTAAATGCGATCAGCAACAACGTCGACAACGGTAACGTCAAGCATGTAGCTAGAGCCGCGTATCCCGGTCAGGCGAAACAGATCATCGCCAGCGAAACCGGCGTCATGCGAATTATAGACGAGGTAGGTCCGCTTGACGAACCGACGGCGAAGTTTCAGTCTGGTTCTTCGTTAGAAGAGGGCTATAAGCCGAGAATAAATAGTGTCGCGAGAGATAAAGAAAAAGAAGGGTCAGATCTGAAATCTGATGCTGCAAATTTAGGTTCGAATGAAATAATAATGCAGATTCAGGCTAGCCAGTTGAGTTCTAATGAACCAACGTCAATAGAAGATTGTAAATTATTAATAGAAAGTATAGGTAAGGATAAAATTGAGATTGGACAGAGAGAAGTGTCAGATTTGAGATCCAAGACGGAAATTGCTGTTGTAGATTTAGGTTCGAATAACGATCGCGAAATAATAATGAAGATTCAACCTAGCCAGCCGAGTTCTAGCGAACTTCGACTGGGAGAATGTTGTTGGCCCACAAGAGAAAGCACTGCGGATGATAAAATTAAAATTGATCGAAAAATAACTTCTGAAAAAGAAATAATCGATGTAGAACTAGGATTAGATCATAAGATCACTCTTGCCCCGAAGGAAAAACCGATAGTAGATGCGATCAGTGATAGAATAGATGCGGACCGATCTAGTATTAGCAAAATTAAATTGGAAAAGAGTCCCGAGATGACGGTTAAAAGTGTTGCGAAGGAAAAAGTTGATATTGGTACCAAAAAAATTAATTCTAAGAAAGAAATAGTCGATGTAGAATTAGATTTCATTGACGCTAATGATGATGTTGTGAAGGTTCAGCCTGTTCATTCCAATCATAGTATCGTTAGATTACAGGAAGATCATAAGTTAATGATAGAAAAACTTACGAACGAGCTCAAAAGTAAGCTCGACGAGGAAAGAAATAAGTCCAAGGAAAATTTACAGCTGGATAAGGTAGGTAAAAATGATACAGAATTAAGTAGACTTAATTCTGAAAGGAAGAATATTGAAATTATTTCCGCGAAGGAAATAGCTAATCTTGAATTGGATAAAGTCGGACATCTAGAAACTAAAGCAACCACTTCTTCACTAAACATCTCTGCATCATTAGATGGTCGTCATGAGTGCGCTCTCTCCGATTTCAGCGTAGATAAGGAAGATTATCGATTAAATCAATATGGTTTCAACGATGAAGATGAAGAGGAAAAAGAATCTGTATATATTGCCAGATCAAGTTTGATGAAATGCAACGACCAAAGAGAGGATAAGCTAGACGAATTTGTAAGCGATAACAAGACTAATGCCAAAGAAAATAATATTCAAAGCAGTCAAGTATTAGTCAGCGCAATGATTCACGAGAGTCACGAAAAAGGATCTGACTATTTCACGACCGAAGAGATTGATAATCGTAAAAAATCTGCCAAAGAACTAGACCAATCAAAATTTGTCGTGGAATGGTCTCAAACTGAGATGGAAGCGAAAGAAAAGGAGGTCGACGTTGAAGACAGAGAACAATCCGAAGAAGTATCACAGATCTCGCGAGAAATTGATCAAGTAAGCAGAATGGATGAGTTTGATACGCATTCTTCGGAAAGACGAACTACATCTTGCGACTCAAGTCTCGAGATAGACGGAAAATATCTCAAATCGATAGTAAACTCGCGCAAGAGTCCAAGAAAGGTCAGGGTAGATCAGATTCGTGATTTTGAATTTAAGGAACAATATACATTCATTGATGAACCAGAGGCGGTTCAATCTGAAGAATTGCAAAGTTCTTCCACAAAGACGAAGAGTTCCGAAAGAATCAAGGAGGAACAAATTTACGATATAGATGTTGAAAAGAAAGATAAAATTTTTGAGAATCAAGAGTCTTCTCGTGCAGAAAAAGTCTTCCAAGGCTCTTCAAGATCGGCTTCCGTAAAGGTTAAAAGTCCTAAAAAAATCGCAGAATCTCAAGTTGATGAAGGCGAGCGCGAATTCAAAGATCGAGATAGATCCATTAATGTTCGAGAAACATCTCGCGCAGAAAAAGTCTTCCAAAGTTCTTCAAAATCAGCTTCTATAAAAAATCCTAAAAAAGTCGGAGAGATTCAAACCGACAAAGATGAATGCGAATTCAAAGATCAAGATAAATTTATCAACGATCGAGAATTATCTCAAGCTGATAAAGCTTCTCAAAAGTCTTCAAGGACATCCATAAGCGCGAAGAACCCCAAAAAGAGCAAACAAAGCCAAATATTTTACAGAAGCGACGAAATGAAGAATTACGATCGATCTATCAATGATCGTGTTATTTCTCAATTGGAGGCAGTTTTCCAGGATTCTTCGAAGAAATCTTCAGCAAAGATGGAAATTCCCAAGAAAAGTCCTGAAAACTGCATCGAATTGAAAAAACAAACTCGATCTGCGGATAATCGAGAATCCTTTCGATCTGAAGAATTTTCCCAGCATTCTTCCAAAACGTCTTCCACAAAGAGTCCGAAGAAGACTCCGGATCAAAAGATCGTGAGACTGAACGATAAAACGCAACAAGGACAAGAAACAATAAAAACGACGAAAGATGCCGACAATAGAACGAAACGTGACTTCAACGAGATCAAGGATGTGTATACGAGGAAGGTACGACGTTACAACGTACCTCTTCAGGGTAGCTTAGACTCGATGATCATGTCTGACGAAGCGTCCGCGCAAAAGCCGAAGAAGGACGAGGCATTTTCAAAAAAGTCGAAGAGCTACGAGTCGATCAAACGCATTCAGGAGGTGTTTCTGGGCGTACCGTCGACGAAGACGAACAATAGTGCTTCGCAGCTCGACATTCCGGACGAGTTCTGCTCGATCTGCTGTTACATGAATGAGATCACCTTCCGAACAGAAGAGGAAGTGAGCAGTCCGAATCAGGAGACATTCTACACGCTTAGGTCGACCTGTAGCTCGCTAGCTGATGACGACGACGAGGACAACGATTCTATTGAATGCGACATCTGCGGTTCGTTTAATCTCCAAGAGTCCACTGACGACCTCGAGGACAAAATTCAGGAGATTCCTTGCGAACTTTGCAGAATTTGCGGCGAGGTGGACGGTAGTTTTGATCAGGATTCCATGCCGATAGATAGATACGCTTTCAAACTCGTTGAGCATCAGGACGATGACGATAGTTTCGAGATCGAGAACTGCGGCTTTCAGAGCGGCACCGAATCGGCTGACGATAGAAGTAGGCTGTCGGAAAAGGAAAAGATCAAAGATGCCGGAAGACCAAAATCGCAGTCCTTATTCATCCATGGTTCCTCGATGATCAAGGATCAGCCACGAGAGTTATACTTTATACCCAAAGACGAAATCGCCATATTGACGAGCGGAGCCAGAAGAATCGGTCGCAAAGGTTCTTTATTTAGAAAGAAGGAGGATTTCGATGGGAGTGCTCGAGATAAAAGACGATACTCTTCAGTAGATAGTCTTCAATTGGCGAAAATGTCTCCGAAGGCGGGCGACAAAGCGCTCAAGACCACAAAAGATTCGACGCTGATTGGATCTGCTGATAACTTGCGGATAACAAAAGATTCAAGGAGATCCAAGTCTCTGCAAAGATCGACCGATGACGTGGACCGTTTAAATTTGTCTACGGATAATCTAAACTCGATGGAAAATTTGGAAAAGGTAAGCGAAGCTGAAGGGTCGGCCGAGAAATCAAATATCCGAGATAAAGAAGCGGTGAAGATGATTCTTACGCAACACGGAATCAAGGTCATTAGCGAGAAGGAGACTGCCTTATAACTGGCTGAATAAAAGCTCATAAATGGCTCGATTTGGTAAATATTTTGAGCAATTTGAATGTTAAACATTATTAAACATTAATTGAAAAATTCATTATGTGTGAGGCGGAGAACGCATTAATGGCTCGTATCAAATGATATACAATCTTTATAAAGGAAAAAAAATTGTTTTTTGATTTACGTAAACACCGAATGAATAATTACGAAAAAGATACGCAAAAGTTTTCTGTAGTGATTTAGAATCCAATATATATATATATATATATATATATATATATATATATATATAAATACATATATATAAGATGACATAGAAATAAAAAAACTGTTATTAAGTAATGAAAAGATAAAAATACTATTATGAAAGTTTAATCGGTTTTTGAACATAAGTATCCGCACGTAATTACTTTGATAGAAACCGATAAAACTTTAAAAACATAAGAAAGAGAGAAAAAGAAAGAAGGAATATATAGAAAGAATATAAATTTATATTTAAATATATTACACAGAGGGAAAATGTGTAGAGCAATTTAATAGAATTTGCAAGATTATTAAGATTTTTTTTATGAGTTTTAATAACTAATTAAATTTACACCCATAGTTTTTTGAAACAACTTGTATAATTAAGTAAATACAATTTGATATATGCGTTTTTTGTGACATATTACACAAGTTCATTAAAATTGATTAGATAATTAACATATTGTTAATTAAATAATGATATAAGAAATTTTAAAAGATATATTTTATTTTATATATAAATGTATAATATATTTAATTAATTTAATTAATTTAACGAAAGGATAAAGAAAGATGAGTGTCAAATTAATAGTGTAATAGCGCCGAAGCGTAATTATGTTATTATATCGGCATCTCGGCTTTGCATAAACATTTACGCCGTAACAGTATTATGTAATTATTGCAAAATAGTTTTATCATAATTATTGTTAAGGTACGATTTAAATCGGTAGCCCAATATCTAGAAAGGACCAACGATGGAAACTGTTATTCTCGATAAACGATCGGGAAATTGTTGGATGATTTACGCAAGATTTGCATATGACACAAGACAATCCTAGTAATATTTTACAGTCAATATTGCACAGAACAATTGTAGCTATAAGTGACAAAATGATACATCGATTTAAGGATAACGCTTTGTTTTCAATTTATACAGAGCGAAAAAATTATTTCTTAGATGTGTCGTTTCTCTTATGTGGATTCTTCCAGGTGTTCTTTCAGGTGTAGAATTTAATTAATTATTCAAATTTTGAGATACACTTAATATATATAAAACTTTGATATATTTATCGTTTATAATTTAATAATTTAATATACTGGTTTCTTAATGTAACTTGCCAAATTTAAATTTATTTTTCTTTGATAAAAATATCGATTCTGTGTTTTAGATATCTTCTTAATTTTTGATATTACAGCAAATTAATTCCATTATTTGACTAATACTGAAAACTAAGAAGATATACGCCAAACAGTGTCGATATTTTTGTCAAAGAAAAATAGATTTTAAACTTACAAGGAATTTATCTATTTTCACGTTTTTTCGGGACATCTTATACGCGAAGTACGTGAAAGATATACCGTAATAACATATGCCAAGAAATTGTGAAAGAATTTGTATTATGGCATAATAATCGTTAATAAGCTCCTATGCATTTCTCAATTTTTTTACTCAGTATTTGTGTATGTTTATTTATTTTTGCATGCAAATGCGGAGTATATATAAATATAAATATATATATATATATATATATATATATATATATATATATGCAGTTAAGTATTATTACGAAACATTTTCTCTCTATAACGAAAAGATATTTCGCGTGCATATTTTTTAGCTGCTTTTAATGCATATAAAATATTATATTTTACTAGTAGAAATTTTTGTATCATCAAGCTTATCAGGCTTGTCATGATATGTAAAACAAAAAATTTTCTTACAGAATTAGTAGTGCGGTCAGTAGTTTATTAATTAACCAATTAGTGGTTATTATCAGCTTATTCAAAATATTGCCATGTTATTGATCGCCTAAAGACTTCTTTACAATGTTTTTCCTTCTTCTATGACCCGCTAAATATCTCTTTTTATTTACATTAAATAATATTTTGGTAATATTTTTTTAAATCTCGTTACATTAGTGCTAAGTATTTAGAATGCTAATGTGGATTAAGTTTTATTTATTGACTTGACGAAGAATCCTCTTTTTACTTTATGTCTTTTTGCTTGAGACATTCAACAACGATAAATAATCCTTATTTTGATTAATACCAGGAATTCCTTTAAATGTTGAAATAAAATCATTAACGTTGAATTCCAAAAGATTGCACGATCGTTGACAAACTATATATAATAACGATACTTATTTTAAAGGAAAAAATGAGTTTTTCTCCATTTCAAACTCGATGCTTGATGTTTTCATGATATCTGTTGATAGCTTACAGATTTTCATGATCTTCTCTCTGTTCACAATACTTATTTCTGTGTTGTGTTTGCCCTCCCTCAATTTAAAGATGCATGCAATTTAACCCTGATATTTGTTTCTCATACATACAATTTATTAAAGTTCGAATTTAGGTGATCTGTGTATTTTGTTGTAACAAGATATATAAATCCGTCTTTTTGGGTTGAATCAAGTCGCTACACAAAAAAATATTATTTTAAAACTTTTAATTTTATGAAACGCTCTTAAACGCTGAAATGTTATTTTTCGATAGCTGTACAATATTGATTAAAATAATATTTTACAAAATGTTTTAGTTTCATGAAAGAAAAATTTCATTTTTTACGATTTTTAAGCTATTCGCGATGTGTATAATTATGCAAACTAATATATTGGGAAATTTGTATACAGTATATTATATGTATAATTTTAAAGTCGATTTGTCGCATTGTGTGTATTCCAAAACGTAAAACTATATTCTGAGCTTCTCATTCATGAACTCTTCAATAAATTTTGATTAAGCGACTATATAAATGCGAGTATCTTCAATTTAAATTAAAACCCAAAATGACGTGATGACAGCTGATATGCATTTTTCAGTTCTGATGGAGCATGTGACGTGTGTTTTCCAGGATACGACAAAACCTGCATGCCTACTATAAGACAGATAGTTGACTGTCTTGTTGCTGCACGACCAATCCGAACCTGCGGCCCCCGGCTTCTTCTTTCTGCTATAAACTCTAATCGCGCTATTAATGATCTTAATCAGGACACTAGCATAGCTGCCAATAATAGCAGCAGCAACAACAACAATAATAATAACAATGAGTGCGCTGAAATTTTCAAAAACACGCGGAATACGTATCTCGATCATTCTTACATCTAATTCCGCTCTATTAAATTAACTATCTATTTTTTTATAAATCTTTGAATTGACTATTAGCTCTTTAAAATAGGAAAAATTTAAAGATTATTAATATATTATTCTATTTATATCAGACTGGGGCTATCTATTTTTTTATAGATTTCTGAGCATGAGCTGACTGTTTAAAATGATGGAGATTAAATAATCATTAAATTGTATTGCTATTATAGATTAGATATCTATTTTTAGTTCTAGATCTCTTAACGCGAGCTTTCCATCATAAAAGTGTATGGTCAAAACTTCAAAGAAATTTAAAAAGTTTTCAAAATGAGAGAAACTATAAAAGAGAAAATAAAAATTATATAGTTTAAATACAAAAAGAAACAAAAATGATTTATAACAGTCAAATAATGAATAATATATATATATATATATATATATATATATATATATATATATATTAATCGACATGTTACTCTATAATTCTGTATCATAATTATTATTAAAAATATGTACGAGACATATTATTATAGTTATAATAATTATAAAAATACTAATAAAAACAAAGAATTTTGTGTATTATAACTGTGTAGCTTAATGATGACGAATTTGTGATATAAGCAGCGTTTGATTACAATTATTATATTTATATTGTTGCGATAATCATCGCCAAAATTACGCATCTCTCTGTCTCAGGATTATTATGGTATAATTATATTACAAAATGATGTAATTATTATAACAGAGAGAATCATATATAATTAAAGTGCATTAAGTGCAAAATGAATATAGTGAAGTGGCACGTTGTATGTTTGTACATAGAAAACAACGCATATATTTGTATATGTAAGATTAATATATTGTCAACAGAGAAGCATGTTTAATGAAAATTGCGCTGCAGATTTTTCTTTCTTATTTAGTTTTTGTTCTATTCATCATTTCTCTCCCCTTCTTTATCCTACATGAATAAAACAAAACAATTGATATTGTATGACAAAGTATCGTTACCTGTTATATAATATATATTACACTTTTTTAATTTAAAATTATTAGCAAGGTTATATTTAAAAATGCAATTATTATATTTTGGAAACAACGGAGCTTTTATTGGTAATATAACTTAAATAATTATTATATAATACTACAATAATTATTTTATTGAATATTCATTATACAGAGAATTATTTTCTATAGAAAAAATGCTCATTTTTCTCAAAATTATAGAATTTAAATATTATCACAAGAAATAATTTAAAAACTTTTATATATTATCCTTATATTAAAACTATATTTCTATTATTATTTAATATACATATTATATTTCTATATACAAAATTTATTTAGTTTTTGTAAAGAAATATCAAACATTTCCAAATTGCATGTATCAACTATAAATAACATCCGCTAATATTCTTTAAAAAATTTATTAATTAAAATTTACTAATATTAATAAAATGCTTGCAGTGGTATTTACAAAGTGTTTTTATTACAAGAGAAGAGAGAAGAAATATATAAAAAAGAATTTTCTTAATTCAAAAGAACAAAATCTACACTTAAGAATTTATTTTTCAAATAAAATTATTAGAATATAAATTAGAATATAAATTATTTTATTCACCCATAGTTTTATATTAATTAGATGTAAATTTAGATTAAAATAATGTAATTACTTCAATTAAAATAGAAACAAAATATAAATTTAATATCACATACTATCCATACAGCACAGACCATTGTTGTTATTATACATTGTAGCAACATTGCAATATTGCTGCAATGTAACAATACTGGTTTGCGCTGTATGGATAACGATGAAAATAATTTAAAAAAATATAATTTATTTATATTATATATTTATCTTGTTGAAATAAATAATTTCTTGTAAATAGTCACTCAAAGAAATAAGATATTTATAAATTTTTATGTTATCAAATGAATATACTTTGGCTCGAGTTAAGCGAAATGCCTCGTATCTTTGTCGAACTAACTCTATCATAATCCTAATTAATTGCAAGGCATTGTCTTTTTTTCAAATATATTTTCTTTCTACTTCTAAATGCTTCTATTACTTTAAGTTTTCGATCTTAGGCTGATTAATACAATGATAAAAAAAATTATTATATATGCTAAACTCACTAAAATACTAGTGAAAACCTCCTCTTTGTCAAAAGAATAACCTTTGAAAATAATTGCTCTCAAGGCTATGGCAGGCAAGGTCGTCGGCATAGAGTAACTAACGATACGAAGTCCCTTTGGTATTCCCTCTACCGGCCATATGGATGCTGTAATTATATGAAATTACAAAAAAAATTGATTAATATAAATTAATAATCTTTTGCTACAAAGATATCGATATTACTGTGATGAATTTTTATTAGTCTTTTTTTATATGTTATTAATAATATACATATATTATGTATGTATAAGGAAACAAGATAAATTTTTAGAAGATTCGAAAATCATATGTATATATATGTAATAGCAATAAATTTAATAATGGGTGCTGTCACTTTTAATACCACAATATTAATAATAAAAATGAAAGGTCATGGTGGAAATGAAAAAAACAGAGCGTGTGTCTCACCGCTTAATATTATTAATGGGAAGAAACTTCCAGCCGAAGCATAATTCGCCAGAGTATGAGTTTTACACGTAACGGAGATGAAAAAACCTAAGAATATATTATATCAATGAGAGAGAGAGAGAGTGAGAAAAATTAATTTATAACAATCATTTATAACAATGTTTCTTGTTTTTGCTTACATTTCTTTCGAGATATTGATAATACTTACCGTACATTAGTCCACTGAGACCATTAAGAAACATAATGATGAATACATGGAAATATGACCCTTCACATTTTAAATCCCATATAGGAAAGAACAGGGTCATTATTACCGAAACGTGAATAATTATGAGGCTAGTCTGAGTCAGAATATGAGCTAGCAGGATTTCGCTGTTCTTGACACCTGTCATATATTCATGTGTTATCATGATGAAAAACAGTTGGAAATAAGAGGTCAATTGATAATTGGAAAAAATAATTAAAAAAAAATTCTGATTATAATGAATTATATATACCTTGAACCAAGCTTCGATCCCAAACGCCCTCCATCCGATCCGTGATTATTAAAGTGGTGGAGATTGTAGTAGCCAGAAAAAAGATCAATCTAAAAATAGTTTTAGCAAAAGAATGATCGGTTACATTCATTATTCCGACTTAGATTGTATTTTGTGTGCGAAAGTATATGCGTGTATGCTTACATCATCATGAAACTTGGTGCGATAAAATAATCATAACCGTGGTCCATATCACCATAAGTCGCATTCTCAAACTGTAATTGATTAAAATTTTATACTTTTATTTTTATCCCATTATAACACTATGTATTAGAAAAAAAGTTTTAATCGTAACACGATAACATATATATATATATATATATATATATATATATATATATATATATACACGGTGGGCCATTTTAATCGATGCACTCGAATATCTCGAAAACAGCACTCTTCAGAAAGAAATGTTTCAAACAAAAATTGTAGGGTGTGAAGGGGGACATAAGATGGTAGCATTGGTTTGACCTTGGAAAGTCATTTGAAGGTCACATAAAAGTCACCTTCAATTTCTTAAATTGAACCCACTATTTTTCATTACATATTCTTGTAGCTTATCTCGAGAGCTTTCCAAAACACTACAGACAAATGTTTTTTCATTAAATACTTTTTGAGTTATAAGGCTTCAAAGTTTGCAGTACTTCGATATAAAATGCAAAATATCTCGTAAAATATTTAGTTTTCGGTAGTCTTACCCTAATACTTTTATGCACAGGATAATGAGACAAAACTATTGGTGCAAAGAAAACGTATGATTGTTTATGATAAAAAATGTGTAATTTGCAATGCACTTTTTGTTATAAACAATCATGCGTTTTCTTTGCACCAATAGTTTTGTCTCATTATCCTGTGCATAAAAGTATTAGGGTAAGACTACCGAAAACTAAATATTTTACGAGATATTTTGCATTTTATATCGAAGTACTGCAAACTTTGAAGCCTTATAACTCAAAAAGTACTTAATGAAAAAACATTTGTCTGTAGTGTTTTGGAAAGCTCTCGAGATAAGCTACAAGAATATGTAATGAAAAATAGTGGGTTCAATTTAAGAAATTGAAGGTGACTTTTATGTGACCTTCAAATGACTTTCCAAGGTCAAACCAATGCTACCATCTTATGTCCCCCTTCACACCCTACAATTTTTGTTTGAAACATTTCTTTCTGAAGAGTGCTGTTTTCGAGATATTCGAGTGCATCGATTAAAATGGCCCACCGTGTATATATATTTATATTTAGCAACATTGGTGCCCTGGGCAAGATTATCATAGCTGTTCAGCCCATTCAAGATTTTAGGGGTTTTCAATATCGCTAATTACGAATCTATAGTTAGATTGCAAAAATTTTTAAACTACATAGCAGCTTTACTAATCTAAACGAATATAAACGAATGATAGCATATGAAAATTTAGAGAACTTTCCTTTAGCTTTACCCAGAGCTAACGACATGGACGTAGAAAGTTTTTGTAGTTCCTTGTTTTTGTTTTTTTTATTTTTTATATTTTTTTATATTTTTTATATTTTTTTCTTATTTCCATTTTTTGTATTTTTTTTTTAATTTTTTGCCGGTCCTCTAGAAGATAGAAGTTAAACTAGAATTTTCGGAGATTATGGAAGTCCAATAAAATTGTACCTTTCGGACCTTTTTGTCGGCAAACATTCGAATCAAATCGGTAAAATCCAAGTTTTCAGTTAAGCTATGGTAACGACGCCTCTACAGATCTGGCGCCTCTGGGCGATCGCCCAACCGCCCCCCCCCCCCCTAAGGTCGGTACTGTATATATATATACTACTCACTTGAATAGGCACACCAGCCAATTTTGGTGAATATTTACAATCTCTCATCACACCCTCAAAAATCTCGAAGAAGCGTTTGTACAGCTTATACTCCATGAATTGTCCAATTTGCATATCTATAACAAAAATCATTGTAAACTTCGAAAATGGTTTGCGTCTTAATTTATTGCATTTTTTTTACATTTCTTTACTCAAGTTTTTTTTTAAATTACCGAAAAATTACATAAGCTTATTATGAAATACAGCATAAATAATGTATGTACGTACCACCCATATCTAGAAATATATCAATCTGACCGGACAGAATATCTTCCGTCTTAGCGGTTCCATAGTTATCAATTCGTCTCTGTAGAGCTTCGGAAAAGTTGTGATTAAAGTACATTATTCCGACGAGATCACCATCGCGTATAGCGTCAGTTGCTTCAGACATGTTGTCATAAAATTCCTGACAGTGAATTAATAACAATTTTTTTTATTCGAAAATATAAATGTTGTATATACAAAATATTTTTTTTTATTTTTCAAAATATGTTTTACCAATGAGTTTTAAATTTTATATCAAATTCTCCCAGAAATACACATTGCATTAGTATTTTAGCGATGAATCATCATCGATTCACATACAGATAAATTCGCGAAAAAATTTAAAGGAAAGTCTGTAATAATCGATTTTTAAATCGCTGTACCTGCTCTATGTTAGAATCGCCATACTCGTGAAGAAATCTACAACTGAGATTATTAAAGTGACAAGTGCGGTTCTCTTCGTCGAACCAAACTTTGCCGATGTTGTTGCCGTAATCGCAATTGCCAGCTTCGTGATTGATGATACCAATCGTTAAGTCTTTTGGTTCACCACCGACCCCGCCGAAAAACGAGCCGACTTCTAATAGCGGGAATAACACCGCGAAAATTATACCTCTAGAGAAAAATGTTTATCATTATTATCGTTATCACACGAATGTCGTGCAATGATCGATAAAACTGAATTTTTATCGATATAACATATTTTGTACGCAACAATTTGTTGTTTAAAAAAATGGCAGAAGTTGATATTTTCTTATATGTGTTCTCTCCTCATGAAAAAGTTATTTATTGACAGATACTTACGAGTAATAACGGAAAAATTGTATACCATTCTTTATCATCAAAGCCTTGAATCTTCTCGATGCCGAGACATTATATATCGCTCTTGCTTTGTAATCCGCGATTCGACCCTTAACACAATTTATTTTTGTTTAAATATCATTAACTTTTTTTATGCATTGTCCTTTTTTACAGCAAAACAGTTAAAAATAAAAACAGTTAAAAATTGTTTCATATATACTTTCATTCGTTTATAATTATCTTCATCTTGAATTAACGCTTCATCTTCAATTTCTTTGATCGCTGGAACCTCGGAAGCATTTTCGAGCATCGTGCTATCTTGCGCCTGGCACAGTCCCAGGAATGCTTCTTCTAAAGATGAGCAATTAAATCGGTTCAGCAATTCTTGTGGCGACGATTCCGCCAACAATTTACCACATCTCATCAAACCTATCTGTGCAGCGTGAAAGATATATTGAAAATGTTATATTGAAAATGAAATAAAATCAATAAAGAATAAAATTTACCATATTAGCATCTTTAGCCTCCTGGATATAATGCGTTGTGATCAATACAGTGATGCCTTCCTCCTGAGTGATCTTGGTTAGATAGATCCAGATACTGCACAAAGAAAAAAAGCATATTTGAATATTTTTCTATTCCTGGTATATATGAAATCTTTAAAGAGACAGCAAAATCTACTTGCTTGCTGCTCAAAATTGGATCCAGGCCTACGGTGGGTTCATCCAAAATCAAAAATTCAGGACTATGAATCAACGCAGCAGCGAAGGAGACTCTCCTCTGTTGACCTCCGCTCATGTTTTTTACCAAATGATTTGCTGGAGGCAGTTGGAGCAATTCCGAAAGAAATTTCTGTCTTATTCCTTAGAAGCAATAAAAAAGGAAAAATCGCAGCTGTATGTTACGAATATAAAACGATATAAAAATTCTCAAAGAGAGAATCAAGGCATGAGATTGAAATCAATTCAAGAGTATCAGTATGCATACAGTTATATTTTTTTATTCCTACCGATCTCCTCGTCCTCGAGTCCGTTAATCCTGCCGAAGTAATAGAGAGCACTGTTCACGGTGAACTCCCCGACCAAGGCGATTTCCTGCGGCATATAACCTACGCGAGGTCCAGGAATTCCGGAGCCCGGTCTGCCTGGATTTCCTCCCAAAACCCATATATTTCCCGTGTTGAGATGCTTAACTCCGACGACGCAGGATAACAGTGTCGTCTTGCCGCATCCACTTGCGCCCAAAAGTCCATATCTATTTTTGGACAAAATAAGAGAAAAAGGATAGCAATAGTTAATCCTATATTTTAGATGACATGTGGTATCGAGTATACACGTAAGATTGAAGATAAATCTCCGTTAGTATCGCAGTACATAACTTCGCATAATAATAATAACTTCTCCGTATTCCCATTGAAAGTCGCATTTATCCACCTTATCTATTCGTGTTTTGTCCCTCGTTGAAGAACAATAGCATTTACGATTTCTTTCACGAATTGTACTCAGTCAATGTAGGGTAACAAATGGCGAATCGCTAATAAAGCGTTGGTCACAATCTCGGATGACTTTGAATCGAATGACATTAAATACATGCGAATGTAACGATCGCTTGTTAGCGAAAACAATTAGCCGAATATCGAGTGGCACAGTGGTGCCTAAGTGTGCCAAATTTAAATTTTCGAGAGTTTATGAAACGTCAAAAAAATATAAATTTAACATGAATACTCAAATATTTGAATTTAGTCAGAAAATATTCAAATAGTAACATACTTATGATGTTATGATATAATTACACATATACACACACTCAAGTGTTAATATATGTTAGATAACTTCGGTTAGATAATTTCTAATTGTTTCACGATATGTATATATATTTATTAGCTAGTATTGATATTATGTAAAAATGAAATATCTATATTTATTTGTACTAAGATAAACTAAACTTTAAATGTTATTTTAAATAGTTATCTTAAACATATAAAGGAGACATCACTTCTTTCATCCGACATAATCAAGATAATATATACTTGGTTAATCTAAATAAAGATAAGATAAAGCAATTAATTTTCAAATATTTATCTAGATAAATATTTGAAAATTAATTGTCTTTTTATCAAAATAACAAAAAACTATGCATAATATAGTATCCTTAAATATTAATATAAAGAACTTATATACTTATAGAAATATACTTATATAATTTAAAATCGTCAGCTAGGAGTGGAAAATCGATCGATTTTTTTTCCCTCTTAGGCACTGCCAATGCAAATTTTGCTCCCGTTAGATTGTGATATGACTGAAGATGATATCGTCATCTGGCACAAACCATAAAATCATCGAGCAAAGCCAGAACTCGCTTCAGTTTCATCCCGGCACGATGATTATTAATATCATTGCATTTCTATTGCTCGCAGGAGGAGCTCTCTCCTCCTTACCGGTTCATGGATCAATATCAATAATCGATGATGATGCAATATCGATAAATTTGCATGCGAATAAATCAAGTGTCGGTGACGATCTTGATGACTTGATCAAGAAATTAAAAATAGAAAATATAAAGCCACGAATTCACTTGCATTTGGGAAAAAAAATTATTGAAATTATTAATGGAACTGATCATGAACAGGATTGTTTCGGTGAGTTGGTCTACTTTTTTTATACATACATATATACATGAGATAAATACAAAAGCAAAGAATTTTTCTTAAATTTATGGAGATTATTAATTATCCATATTTATTTTTAATTACAATTTCTAATTCATTTCAAATTTTCTTTTTGTTCGCGTTATTTAATAAAAATACAACTAAAGATTGAAAATTATGTATATCTAATTTCATACATAATACTCAATATAAAAATACACAAGAAATAAGAATTTAAGAAGCTAAAGCTTTTCGTATTAATATAATAAAATATTTTCTGTTCTTTTTCAGAGGTGAGTTTCAGCAAAGTGACAAGTTCGAAATTATGAATATTTGCTTTTCATTTAGCGTCACAAATCGACGCGTCATTCTGTTTTTTCTCAACTGTTTTTTTCAACTGTTTTTTTCATGTATAATAAAAAAATAGAAGGACGCTTGTGTTTTCTCAATTGTTTTTCTCATGTATAATAAAAATAGAAGGATGTGTTGATTTGTATTGCTAAAGCATTCATTAATGGACGAATAGATTTATAAACATATATTTTTAAATCTTATGTTAATACAAGTCCTTTATATACATTTCATGATAAATATTGAATACGAAAAAAATTAAGAGTGGTGTCGCCATAGCGGCAAATGAAGAAACATGTCGCGCACACGAAAATCGAGTTGCGGCGTAGAAGTCGCCAATTTAGAATATATTCTTATTCATTAAGAATTTACAATTTTTTCAGTGTACCACTTAGCTGCTTCTATAATAATATACATTTAACTGTTGTTTTTAAATACTGCATAATAATTAATTAAATATATAATGCAAGATATAATTTTTAGGAAAAATTATATTTGTCTATATAAAAAAAGGTAAAATCATATATAATTTTAAATGATTATATATAATATCATATATGATTTATATTAAAGCATACAAGAAACTAACCTTTGCTTTGGTTTTATACATGCTTAGATATGATATCAATATCTAATTATGTCTGATTGTACAAAATGACGTAAGGTATCTAATATCATTTTTTATGATCAGAAATGGTCAGAGATGGACATTATATCTAAGCATATACAAAAACGTATGCTCTGATAAAATCATATGTGATATACATAATCATATAAAACTGTATATAATTTTACTTTTTTTATATAAATAGACATGGACTTTTTTTCCCGGGGATCATTAAGCACAAAACAAAATGTTTCACCTATCCGTTGTTCATAAGTGCATTGAGGGAAAGATACATATACATTTCGATCAAAATTTCTCGTTTATATAAAATCGAAATTATATAATACAATTATGTATGATTGTATCTGAACTATATTTGTTACTTATTTATATATGACGCAAGACTTACATATAATTATATATTAAACTAACAGAAATCCATGTATAATTATACATAAAACATTGTGAACAATATATATAAGTATGCAAAATGCACACTTATATATAATTATGTAAGAGTTATTGCATATATATAAATATATATTTAATGTCCTGTACTCTATTATTTATAATTATACATATTTTTGCACAATTATATGGTTTTGTACAATTATATTCAATTCTGCATGAATATACATGAAAAATTTTTTACCGGGTACTTTTAGCCATATTATAAAGATATATTAAGATTAGATTTTAAATAGTTTGATTAATTAATTCTTTTTGAGCAGACAAATAACATCAACGAAATTTTACGACGCGCAACATTGTCGATACGAGAATCTGGCAGGAAAGAAATTCATCAAGATTCACTCCAACATGAAGATTTACAACGTTTCATTATTCCTCAAAGATATCAAAATTCTATGAATTTTGATCAAGAATTTGAATATACATTTTCTCAAATTCTTTCTGACGTTAAACTTGCGCTTGAAAGTGAAAGATTAAATTCAAGAAGTGAACTGCTCTTCGAATATACCAAGTCGATTCAAGATAGCTTGTTATGGTTAACTAAACTGCTCGATTTAAAATGGCAACGATTATATAATGATTTTGATAACAGCTTTAGATGGAGACTCTTAAATTTACAGAAACAGTCAGAATTCTTTTTAAAAAATTTAATCAAGGAGAACCAGTATGTAAAAAAGAGGGAGCATTCTGAGGATATTTTAAAAGATGAAAGTAAAAACGGCATTTCAAACGAAAAGAAAATTAATGTTAAGAAAATAACGATATTAAATGGAGAGAATATAAAAAATCTTGACAAGATTGAAATAAATAAAAATAAAACTCAAGAAACAAATAAAAATATAACAGATGACAAGCTCGCATTTAAAGTTGAGGCGCGAATCATGAGCCATCCACAATTATTAAATGATATCAATATCTATGATTTCGAAAATAAAAATCATTCAAGTCAAAACGTTTTAATAAACAAATCTGTTGCATTTCAAACTGATTTGAATAACCGGAAAAACTCGAAAACAAACAATTCTGGGATTACTCATAAATTCTTTACAACTAATTTCGAAGACTATAGAAACCGGTTTAATGAGGCAAAGAAAAGACGTCCAATTTTATCAGGTAAAAATATTACGAGCACTTTAAAGGAGATAGATAAACAAAAGCACAGTAAAACGCACATCATATTTCGTAAATTTTCAAGAAAAAATGTAATAGATAAACCGAAAACTCCTTCTCGAAGAATGTTACAAGTTCTCGTTCCTTCAGATGATAAGAAACAAGAAATTGACGTTTCAAAAAAGAAAACCGAAAGTAATTCTCGTGAAGAGATAAAAGAAGCAAGGATAGATGGTATATCGGCAATGGACGAGATTCTAGGAGCTGTAGATAAAGTCTTGCCGACGGAAAATCCTGTGGAAATATTGTCAAGGGGATTAAAAAAAACAATTCCCAGGATGTCCTGATGTCAGGACATTGCGAGAAAAAATCTCGGAGAGTCTTTTAGGATTGAATTTTTAGAAGACACGTCGAGAATGCATGATCGATTCTACTAATAAACGATCAGATCTTAGATGTTAGGTACCCGTTTCGATTTCACACTCACATATAAACGATACATATATTCGAATCTACAAATAAGTCTATAAGACTTTCTAGCGCGTTCCTGGGGGTTAATTACACGTATGCGCGTATGGAGAACGCACAAAAATATTAAACAGTACTTGAACATGTATGATATATTTTTATTCCGTTATTATTATTTTTAATTTTAGTAAATATAGCAATATTTAAAAAATGTACATACCTATATATATGTTACAATAAAATAACACGAAATATTAAATTATTTTGACTGACTAACCTAACAAAGCAAAATTATAGAATTCTGAAATAAAATCCAAAAAGTTCCTTATCTAGACGGTTGTTAGAAAGTTACGCGATTATCGGTTTTCGTTATTGTGCAATTGGCGGCAATTTAAGCAATCGGTGAATGTATGCGGAAAAGTGCGTGACAATAATTTTCAGGCCACTTTCAACGAGTCGATGGACGGAGCAATTGAAATAATATCAGCTTGATACAAGAGATATGCACACGTGAGACGTGTATCATACGAAGATATTTTGTATTTGTTGAATAATTTCGAAAACTACACAAATAATCTTTTTATAAATCGACGCAATTTTTATTTTCTTCATGCGGTGAGCATCTTTTTCAATTTTTTTCTTGGGAAACCTCAATTACAATTAATTAATTTAAAGCGGAATTAGATAGAGAGAGAAACAATTAATCCTTTCTAAATAAATAATTCTAAATAAATTCTAAATAAAGTAATAAAATTAATAAATAGCCATTACTTACATCGAACCCTTTGGAACGGTCATGTTCAAGCCGTCGAGTATTGGCTTCTCTGATACATAATACTTGACGGCATTTTTCACGACCACTGCATTTTGCTGCATCATTTTGCGAAACGGTGAGGACTGTTCATTCAGCGATCGAACTGTAACATATTTCTGTTTTGAATAATCTGATTTTGACTTTTCCTTTTTCAATTAGTATCTGAAAATACTATTGTAGAAAGAAAAAAAATGATAAAATATTTGTTTCGATATCTCTCTAGTTAGTAGAGATCGATCCCTTTAAATGTTATTTTTAAAACACTTCCAAAATATGTGAAATTCTTTAATGAATCATCATGTGTATTTGCTGAAGTAATAAATGTCAAAAATGTGATTTATTCAAATTATTTCGGATAGAATATTAAGAAGAAAAAGAAGAACAATGGAAGTTGTTGAGTAATCTTTTTTTTGTTAACTTGAGTTTATGTGTTTCGACGAAGATGAAGTGACGGATTGCTTTTTTTATTTGCAATAAAAAGCAAATAGTTGTTATGATATTTATCAATTCAGTTGGTAATTAAATCAAAGAAATATTATGGAAAGAAATATTAATGAGTTCTCTCTCTTTCTCTCTCTCTCTTTCTCTCTCTCTCTCTCTCTCTCTCTCTCTCTCTCTCTCTCTCTCTCTCTCTTTCTATCGCATAGGAAATACTCAAATTCTTAAAAATTCTTAAAAATTCGAGTTAGAATTTAATCAAAATGTATAACCAAAATCAAGTTAAAAATTAAAATTAATCAAAATTATTATTTTTATCAAATTTTTTCAAGTTATCAATGTTATTTAAATGCAATTAGTAAATGTTAGTAAAGAACTTGTTCTTTACGTATTGCATATTTTACATAATATGAAATGTAACGTCCACGTAATCATAATATCAAATTATATGTTTTTTTAAGTCATGCTTCGGCAATTTAGTTCTATGACGATCAATATGTATTTGTAATTGATCTCTGCAACTCTTATGTAAGAATATTTGATGGTGTTACATTTTAACGTTACATGTATTATGTTTATAGATCTTTAATGTAGTTAATTTTCAGAATTTGCATTTGTAATTGCGAGGTAAAAGAATATTTTAGAATTGTGACGTTTTAGCTATAATCATAATTGCAGGAGATAATTTGTTTTGATCGTTTTGCTCTAAGTTGTATATCATAAAATGTTAATTAAAAACTTTTGCTGACAATTACGTCACATCACTCATTTAATTATGCCCATAATAACTAAAATAAAAACTTTACTTTATTACTTAATTGATTTTATTTTTTTCAACTTTTGAATGTTACATATAAATACTTATTTATAAGCATACATTTCTTTATATTCATACATTAGACATGAATACAATGTTCAATATGTATTCATGTATTTTTTGGTCATTATGCAATTATTTATGACTTTGATATTTACGTAATGCTATTTGCAAGTATAATTTGGTGTAATTAATATATAAAAATAAGTGTAAGTTTAAGAAAGACATTACATAGGAGGAAAATGAATAACTAATATCTTTGCTTTATAATATTAACTTATATTAATTATATTATTTGTTGTTTTTCTATATAAAGAATCATACGATATAAAGAGTCATACGATTACATAATTTGGATTATATTAATCATATCAGTTTAATAAGTGTATAAAGTCTCAATTAAATAATCCAATTTTAATTCGTTATTTAATTTAAAAATTTTTTAATTTTGTTAAGTAATTTAATCTGCATTAAGAAGTATTACATAAATATGTATATAAATATCGTGTATAATATTTAAATCTTGATTGATTGATTTAATTTTGTCAAGAAAAGCATTTTGTTGATATTTTTATTGATATTTTAGATATAGTTTCTTTTAAAATTGACACAAATGAAAAAGAGTATCATGTATTGTAATTTATATATATATATATATATATATATATATATATATATATATATGTTTTATTGTAGTTATGTCTGTTTTTTATTATATTTTATTATTCTTTTGTGTATATTTGTGTATATTTTATATTTGTTTATATGTACTAATACATACCATACTAATCAAACTTGTAACATTTTCTTCCTCTTCCAAAAAAATATTTAAAACAAGTTCACAAATTTCCCCTCAAACAACAATTTCTTGAAAAATACTTTCCCGATCACAAGAAAAACAATTCAATTAATTATCAGAAATTCAAAAAAAAGTTGTTTCCACAGTGCACCGAAATATTTTCCAACTGTCCTAAAGATTACATTAAGATTAATAATCACACATAATTGAAGTATATGTTAAATATATCAATAAAAAAATGCAAACTATATAACATACTGAATATACTGAATATACTATAAATTCAAAAAAATTCCAAAAGTTTTATTATATTATGTGATTTTTATGGAGATATTATATTTTATTAAGAGGCGAGATTAGAGATTACTTTAATACGCGCTACGCGAAGACTGGCGGCTTTCTAAGTATGCATACTGCTTTATATACTACATCCCCACGCACCATGATGATACATCATGAGTGTATAAATAATTATGATTTCCCGCGTTTTGCAATTCATGTAAATTAATTATTTTGATCAATGTATTAATATTAATAATGTAGTAACTTATTACAATTATTTATTATCTTAATTTAATTTATTATATGATGAACTGTGATGCTACCAATATATAATAGCAATGTTATATTTATGTTTTTAAATTTTTTAAATTAATCATATTAGTTCTTTGCAATTAATTAATTTTTTTGTAAATTTAATTTTTTTACAAATTTAATTATTACTATTAATTATATAAATAATATAAAGATATTCTTGATTATATTTTACTTTCAGAATGTTTCGAATTAATAGATTTATGTTTATACATATAATTATATATATATATATATATATATATATATATATATATATATATACAGGGTGTCCCAGTTATTTTCCGTCATCTTTCAAAGACAGATTCCTGGGATCATTTGAAGACGATTTTTCCTCAGCGAAAATGTCAATGAAGGCCATCATTTTTTGCATGTTTCCAATTTTTGTCATCATGTATCTTTGCAATTAAGTATCTTAAATTGAAACATGTATCTTAAATTAAAACTCAATTAAAGTAAACTCTATTTAAAATTAATCGAAAAATGTGATTTTGTTAATATTTTATTTCTACAAAGCTTAGTTTACAAAAAACCCCTTATTTTCAATCATTTATATATAATTCGAAAATTATTAGTGCCTCGACATTTTCGTTTAGGAAAAATCGTCTTCAGATGCTCCCAGGAATCTGTCTTTGAAAGATGACGGAAAGGGACATCCTGTATATATATTAACATCAATTCAATGTTGATTCCAATTGTCAATGAATATCTTGGGGTTTATTGAAAGATCAATTTTTTGTGCAATATCGACTTATTTTAAATTTTTTATAGCATTTAAATTAAAACTAATTGTAAATTTGATAAGGATTTTTTTTACTATTATTAGTAACAAATATGATGCATTGTTACAAATAGTAAAAAATTTAAAATTTAAAATTTTAAGTTACTATTTTAAAACTTTAAATTACATTTTAAATTAAAATTTTAAATTAAATTTTAAATTAAAATTTTAATTTAAATTTTAAATTAAAATTTTAAATAAAAATTAAATTATATATAAATTATATATAATATATAAATATATTATATATAAATTAAATTGTAAATGGATTTCTTCTATTATTATTATTAATAACAAATGTGATAAAAATTTACGAATGAGAAAAAATATAATAAAAGTTAAAATTTTAGTTGTAAAGTCATTTTATATATTTACGAGATACTTTCACAAAGACCGATACGCCGACAAGTGCTCTTAGGCTAGACGCACAATAGAGTAAATATTAGGAATAAGAATATATATATAATATTAAATATAAGAAAGAACAAGAAGAAGGAATAAGAATATATATATATATATATATATATATATATATATATATATAATATTAAATATAAGAAAGAACACAATTATTATTATACTTATTAATTATAATTATTTTACTTCAAGTAAAAGAATGAATTAATTATTCTCAATTTTTGATTCTTAATTTAAGCGTTAATTTATAATAATTTATAATTAATTCATCCAATTTTTTTTTGTTTTGAAATAATTCCAATTTTTCTCTTTATTTCTAATTTTTTAATATTTATTTCTATTTCTAATATTTTTATGTGATATTTAGTTTTTATTTCAGTTTATAATTAGTTAGATACAATACGTAAGATTATGAAGCTTTATGAAGCTTTAAAAATGCTTCAAAGTCAATATTACCTCTGCATCTTTTCAAATTATTTCAAATAAATGGTGATATGTAGTCTTTATTTCAATTTTTATTTCAGTAATGTAATGTCAGATATGTAATGTGTTTATATTGCTATTACATTTATATTATATAATATATTATTTAATATATTTAAATTTCATATAAATAAATGTGTGTGTATAAATTTATTTATGTATAAATAAATTTATATATTTATAATTTATATATTTTAATATATTTATAATTTGTTGTTTTTAAAGAAAATTAGAATTTAATTTATTATATTTATTATATACAGGGTGTCTCATTTTAATATCCCCAGGCAAATATTTCGGAAAATAATGAAAAATCGAAAAAATGTTTCAGACAAAAGTTGTATGGTTTCTAGGGAGACATAAGATGGTGCCATTGGTTTGCCCTTGAAGAGTCATTTGAAGGTCACGTGAAGATCACTTCAATTTTTTTAAATAGAACACCCTATATATTTTTACACATTCTTGTAACTCATCTCAAGAGCTTTCCAAAATACTATAATTAAGTTAGTTTAATTAAGTATTTTCCAAGTTATGAGGCTTGAAATCATTTTTTAATTTTACATAAACCGTAAAATATCTTGTAAAATATTCATTTTTTGATTATCTTATCTTAATACTTTTATATACAAAATAATGAGTGGAATCAATTGGCGAAAAAAACACATAGTTATTTTTAAGAAAAAATATGTAATTTGCAATTAACAAAACTAACTTAATTATAGTATTTTGGAAAGCTCCCGAGATGAGCTACAAGAATGTGCAAAAATATATAAGGTGTTCCATTAAAAAAAATTGAAGTGACCTTCACGTAATCTTCAAATGACTCTTCAAGGGCAAACCAATGGTACCATCTTATGTCCCCCTAGAAACCATACAACTTTTGTCTGAAACATTTTTTCGATTTTTCATTATTTTCCGAAATATTTGCCTGGGGAAATTAAAATGAAATACCCTGTATATAGCATAGAAAATATAACTGGCACATATTTTTTATAGAATTTTATTTAAGTATTTTCTATTTAATAAAATTAATAGAATTCTATCTTTAATTTTATTATAATCATAACTAAAGTTAACTAGATTATCTATGACTTTTAATTTATAAAGCATTTAATTGGAATTAATGGGTTATTTCAACATTGAAATTAAGTCGAAGTGATAATTGAAGATTTTAATTTCTACTATTTTGATGTCAATTCGATCAAAATTTTAACTTTATTTTAATATTTAATTTGATATTAGTTTGAGGTGACGTTAACTGTATATTTCTGAAAGTTAACTATATATTTTCGAAAGTATTACATATATCACGTTTTGTCACCAAAAAATACAATTATTTTACAAAAATTTATTTTATTTTCGTAAATATTTGCAAGTTTTTAAATAAATTTTTATAAAAATGTAAAGAATATAAATGAAAGTTTTACTTTTTTGACGATTTTTTAAAATTAGGATATGGCATTACAGAAACTGTTTGTAACCACGTTTATAATCACAGTGTATATAGAGAAAGGTTGTTCAGTACCGGATGTTGCTCAATATAAGATAAAGTATCTTTTTCGTTTCTACTCTTAAATGACAGATACTTATAGTAGTTATTAGATAATTGCTTTTATATTTATTAGCCATCTTTATAGCTAGAGACTTAACGGAACTATATTTACAATTAGTTAATTAGAAATAATTGTTCTCATTGTTGCACATTGCTGCTCTTTGTAAACTATTATGTGTATTATTGATTTGGCGAGAAAATTCGAATGTATAATTATAAATTATAAATTTATATATAATATATAATATATAATAATATATATTATATATTATAAATTTAAAATTTTAATGTATCTATTTTGTCTCTTATTATTATCTAAGCTACACCCCCGCGCGCGTGCATGTGTGTGTGTGTGCGTGTACAAAAATTTAATAGATATCCGAGAACTGAAAATGAATCTCAAACTCAATTCTGCATATATACTGTTCTGGAGAAACTGGTACGCGGATTATCTACCGTTAGAAGAGTCTTTCCGCAATGGAAGTTAGTTGGAATAAACTCTATATACATAGGATACATTGCGTGCACAAGATGCAGTCTTGTAAAATGATGCTAGAAAATATAATTCTAGGTCGATGCATTTGTTCCATAGTGTTCAAAAATTCAATTTTATTTTAAGAAATCAGTTCAAAACTTTCTCTTTTGGCAAATTTTGTTTAAATTAAAAATAACTTTCATTCTTAATGTTTAATGAAAATATGATAGTTAATTATTTATATAAATATATAAATATTGATATAAATAAAATTTTTAATAAATATTCAAGGAAATTAATAACATTTTATTTATTTCACAAAAAGCTATCAAAGCACATGCATGTAGGAGAGGTATATGGATATATGTGCGAGTGTGATAATCACTAATCAGAAACGGTTTAAATTAATTGATGGCTTATAAATATCAAGTAGTACACGTTTATTGAAATTTGATTTCGAGTTATTTTAGCACAGACGTCTATATATTACTAAACTGCTATAACTCTCTAAATTTTATTCATATAAAATGTCCTCGTACTTTATGTACTAATGTAATTTTGTTTGCTCATACGTCGATATAATCGTGATAATATAGGCAGAACATCTAAATTTATGTTCGTTTATATTCATACACTGAGAAAAAAATCTGATTGCATTAATTAGAATTCTAATAGATTCAAGCAGTAGGTCTGTTGAAAAATGGACGAACCAGAATTCTTGTAGGAATTACCAGATGAATCTGATTAATTTCTTCCTGTTAAATTTACCAAATTTTCTGGTTAATAATACTAAACTCGCCAGCACGAAGTCGTCTAAAATTTTTTCCATCTAATCTCAAAAGTCTGCTTAATATTCTGAATTCCAACAAGATTATTGGATAAATTCAATCCAGATTATTGAATAAATTATTTTAAATTCAGTTTTGTTAGAAATTAAACTGATAAACAATAATGCAGGAAGAGGATGCAGCTCAAACACACACAATCAGAGAGCTAGCATCCTCTTTCTGGTACTACTGCTCGTAAGAGAAAAAAAATATACTTTGGATTTAATGTTAATATTACTTTTTTATATACATTTTATAGCAAATATTGAATACGAGTTAAGTTAAAAGTGGCTCGCCGCCTAGTGGCAAGCAAAGAAATTAATGTAACAAGAAATTTTATAGATCCAACTAGAAAATACTAACCAAATCCTTATAAAAAAATTTATTAAACGTTCTAATTATAAAAAATCGAGTCTTATCATGATAACTAGAAATTCTTGTTTGATTTAACCAAAATGTCTTCAATCATATACGTCTTGTTGATACAATCAAACGATTTTTCTCAGTGTACATATTAATATATGTACGTGCTATCAAAGCGCATGCGCAGATAAGCATACTTTATGTAAATTTGTACATAAAATCGGAGATTTTAATATATAGACTTAAAATCGGAAATTTTAATATAGATACTGAGATCTATACTAAAGATCTGTAATATATAGATTAATATAGATATCTGTAATATATAGATATCTGTGCTAAAATAACTCGAAATAAAATTGGAGTAAACGTACTACTTGATATTTGTAAGCCATCAATTAATTTAAACCGTTTTTGATTAATGAATTATCACACTCGCACATTTATAAGAACAACAAACAACGATCTATCATCAACTATACTGAAATCATCTGTTTCAATTAGATCTATATATTTAAATCATTTATATATATACTTATGATAAAAGCAAATGCACACAAAAGTCTTTATTTTTTAAAACTTTCATTTTTCGCTTGTACCATTTAACATTTAAATTATTCAATTATTAATAGATTTCAGTTGATAACCGTTTAGTTGATGGAATTTTGTGATTTTAACTAAAAACAGCATTGGCCAATAAAATTAAAAAAGAATTAATATATTTAATATATGCATATATATATTCAATATATTAATTCTTTTTTCAATTTTATTTTTCAATATATTCAAAACAATTCTTAATTCAACAATTCAAAAGAATTCACATATTAATGCAATTTTATGATGTAATAATATTAATATAGCAAAAATTTCACATGGCATTCTCGTCATGTCTAATGAAATTCAATAATTTTACAAATTGTATAGGTAAGAAGAAGAAGGAAAAGAATAAAAATAATTTTTATTGTTCTTATTGTAATGTGTATAATATTATTTTAAATATAATTTTAATTATATATATAAAAAAATTCTGTAATTTATATCATTAAAAAATTCTATTTAATTTAATCTGAATCTAGACAGAATTAATAAACAGAATTAACAGTAGAATTAAGAAGTATATCTGAAAAGTAACAAAACGAAATATCTGATTGAACAGGTAATTTATTAGTTTTTGATTTTTAAAATAAAAATATATACGATAATCCCCAGACTTGTATATATACGATATTGCCCAGAATTGTACGCAGAGAACTCAAAGACAAGTTGATAAATTGAAAAAACAGAAGATAATGTTTTTTACATTCTCTCTATTTTGCCTATTATGTTCTTCATTTTTCTGAGTGAAAGTGGAGTCCTTCAATAGTCACCTGTTGGATACTTGCGCATTTTCATAGACCACCATTTGTGAGAGAATGGCTGACCCTTTCGATTGCGCGGTGGCATTGATAATGTAGAAATATTTCCGGTCGTAAAATTGATTAATCAATAACAATTCATGTTATAGTTACAAGAAAAATTTACACTCTCTATCTCGTATGATAATATAATTAACGAAGCATTCCGATATTTCCAAAAATAATACTTTCACACCATAACAACATTATTCTCATTGACGTTCGCTTGCTTTCGATTTAATAAGCGAGTGTTTATTGTTTTTTTAAGACTTTCTCGCTGTTATTTTCGCTTATTATTATTTTTCGCTGCACATTTTGTTACATGAAGCATATATATATTATGTGTATTTTAACATTTTTTGTTTTTGATAATTCATCATCAATTTAACTAATCTGATTCGCACAACAGCAAATTATTTAGAAAAAAAGATATTAAATAAAAACATGTTTTTTGTTTGATTGAAAAAATACCGAATTTTTAGATAAAAAAATGATTCAAATACTATATATAAATATTAATCTCTCTAAATTAATTTAATATCCATATATGATCGTATTGATATTAATTCCATCATTAATTTCAGCTTTTCATGATATATAGAGATTAAAATATCTCATAATCTCATAAAATTTTGAAAGTGAAAATAATGTAAATTATATATAATTTATTTCCTAATTTCAATAGAAGAGAAACTAAATAAACGTAATTAAAATATTTGATTCAATTGATAATTAAATTAAAAGAGAGAGAAAAAAAATAATCATGTTTAAATTTATTATAATCATGTTTATTTTTATATTTCTAATATTGACACTTTATACTATTTTTTTGATAAAATTTATAATATATTATAACTTTACATTTTAAAAATAATTTATGGTTTATTGTATAGAAAATTTATTTATTGTACAGATATGTTATTATATTTATATTTATTATAAAGACATTTTTTTATTTCACTTTTATATTAAATTTGAATTTTATTCTTAAACTAAAATTTTAGTAAATCATAAACTTAAGTAAATCTAAAATTTTAGTAAATCACAAACTTTTTAATAAAAAGAAATTAAATTTTAATATTGAAAAGAATTTTAATGTTTTTAATTCAACTTTTTAAAATTTTGCAGAAAATTTCAGATTAGTTAACAAAATGTTAAAATTTCACAGATTTTCAAAATAATTTTATTAATAACATCGATGCATTTTTATGGCACTATGTACAAAATGTACTATACGATGTTGTAAACTTGATCGAACATTCCGTTCGTCACACAAGCCCGACAAAGACTGCATTTGACCCCGATTTAGTAGCTAACTAGATTCACTGGGAATACTGGTAACAGTAATAGAGGTGGGGATCTATAGTATGGATCGATGGATGGTAAATTCTTTAAAAATTTAATAATTACTTATGATTTGTGTTATATTGCGACATTACATAAAAAAATATTTCTTTGTACGATATTTGAGTAATTTGATAATCTATAAAGAAGTAAAATATGTATATTTGTAATTGCAAAAATTTCATAATATTTTTCAGTTTTTTTTTTATTTAAAACGAGTTTTGAATAAAGACTATAAATTTATTTTCAGAGTATACCATATATAAAATAAAGTTTTTAAAATAGAGTTTCAAGTCTTAAGATGATTTAATAATAATAGTTTGCTTATAGAGGTCAATTGAGATTGTAATCAGTTGAGAAGAAAAAACTATTTACAAGCCTAAGCTTAACTTCAGACTCGAGAAGAGATAGGAAAAGAGATTTTTTTTAAAAATATGATTAGAAAATATAAAATATTCTTTATTATGACATTTCTTGTGGTCTGAAATATCATAACAAAGAATATTTTATACTGAAAACTAAATGGATTATTTTTTGCAATGATTATCAAAATTAAAACTTATAAATTATTAATTCTTATTAATTCTCTTGTATATTAATTATATATTAATTATCAGAAAAATTAGGGAATATTTTGTGTACGGAATATTTTTAGTTTTACATATATTAGATATTCGCGAGTTATGAAATATTTTATATTATCTTAAATATTTAAAATAAATATTCATTATTACAATTGATATCGAAATATTGATACATTAGCATGTATAACTGATCATTTAAAAAACTTGTTATATATATATATATATATATATATATATATATATTATGTATATATTAGATATATATAAAATTTTGATAAATTTTGTATAACTTTTGAACAATTTTTTATGAAAATTACTTGTGTTATTTAACAAACATAAATGAATGTAAAATATAACGTTATGCTTGATGATTATTAATAACATTATTAATAAAACAAGTATGCGATAGTCTCTTATTTTAAATTTAATTTTTTTCAAATTTGATAAGGCGATGTATATTAATATATAAGAAGAACATTTTTCTTCTTTTGAAGAAGAATTAGTAAAATGTATTTTTTTCATGTATATGCTTTTACATACATGTTTAAATTATTTAAAAAACTGCAATAATATATAGATAAAATGGCGACATTTATATTAGTTTTTTTCCTCGATTAAAAGTTGTCATGATTTTTTATCATAATTTACATGCATTCTTCAAAAGGATTGGATTAGATAGTATAAATTAACCTTTGTTTAACTGTTCATGATTTTTTTAATTCCAAGCTTATACTAATTTATTTTTCTCTACATTACGTCAATATTTATAAGAAATTAATTAGCTTGCAAGAAATTAATTTGAAGTAAGAAATATTAATTGTTTCCAATTCGATATTAAATGTGATTAAAACTATGAGAAAAAAGATTTAAAAAACGCATAATTGTAATAAATGAAAAGAAAGGGAAAGAAAGAGAGAGAAAGAGAATGTGTGTGTGTGTGTGTGTGTGTGTGTGTGTGTGTGTGTGTGTGTGTGTGTGTGTGTGTGTGAATGTGTGCGTGTATGTATAAATCAGAGATATTATACATATATATATATATATATATATATATATATATGTATATATGTATATATAAATGACAGTAAATATATAAAATAAAATACAATAAAATTGTAAAACACATGCATGCTATGTACATATAATACATTGTGAAAAATCAATGTTCTTTATATATTGCTCTTTATATCACAAATGTTTATTCATTCATCATTCAATTGAAAAAGAAATTTTAGAAGTCAAGAAATTAATTACTTTAATAAAAAAAGCTTATTCTGAAATAAATGAAAAATGGAGAGAAAAGAAGAGAAAAGAAGAGAAAAAATAAAATATAATTAAAACCTCTAAAAGAATCACAACATCACATCTGTATAACTTGTGTAAACCGAATTAGTAATTTAAAATAATTTACAAGTACACTAAAAAACACAGCACAAATTATTTTCAACTATTTTGCGAATAATTAATTATTTTTATTGTAAGATATATTCGTAATATTTAAACGCGTTATATCTCTTCCTTTGAATTATTCCCGAACTACACTCGAGCATAAACTTTTCCCGACTCAACTGATATGAAAACCAAGGACTATTATGTATATATGTATACTTTCAATTGAGAGAACTACCTCGATCTACGTAAAGTGGGGATAAAGGGAAAGAGTCGAGAACCGCAAGGTATCTAACCTTATTATTTATAAAGTGATTTATGTAAATTCCAGAAGAGCTATTTGTCTATGGAATATGAGAAAATATATGTGTAAACTGTTTTTGAGAATCATTTATTGAATTTATTTGAACTATGAGAAGTAGAGCTCTGACATCTCAAGATATTTGAATTTCTCAAATCGATATTTGCTATATAAAGTTATACATGTAATATCAAAATTATAAGTTGATCTCAAGATTCATCCATTGAATAGCAAAACTATAACTATGCTTTTTTATTCAAAAGAGATGTGGCTAATAAATTAATTATTTAAAATCTATTATAAATTATCTAAAATCTAATTCATTCTTAATATTTTAAATAAATGAGAGATATAAGATTTAGAATATTTTTACGATAGAAAAAAAATAAAATGTTACATATAATGATCGAGCCTTAAAACAATCAATATCAAAACTCGTTCTTAACAAATAAAATAATATATAGAAATTTGTGGCAAAATATATGATCTTTTTTTCTCTATTTCTCTATAATAGTAGCAATTCTCGATAACCAAACAAATTAAATCAGCTGCGTATGTGTGATAATAAAATGTGGCTGTTGCATCAAGCTTTTACAAGCTACTACAACATTCAAATTATTTATATTATCATTACATTTCAAATTATTTAAATTATAACTATTTTGAAATTATAATTATTTTGAAATAATACTTATAAATATATATAATCTAAAGCTGCATAAAATTATTGAAATATGAAATGTTTTATTATTATATTTAGGTATTGAATGCATTAAGTCGACACAGCATCCATTCGTTTTTTTTTCTTGTACTTTTTGTGTGCACCCAGTCTTATCACAATTATTCTTTTTAACCTTTCGCTGCGGCAAAGTCTAATGTACATGATAGACGGCATATATTTAGCATATCTGTGACGACACATATTAGCTGCTATAAATGATGAAATTTTGTGCTATCGCGCATCGTGTTACTATCAGTTACTAATATGAAAATATTTCAATAATGATAATATAAATACCGAGCGCCTAAAGACATCAACAGCATCACGTAGGTGATAACATTTAAACATCTTAAGGTGCCAACAGTTATAATTATAAAAATTTCAAAACGCCTAAAGATGTCTACAGTAAAAGGATTAAAAAAAGAAAAAAGAATCAATCTTGTTTTCAATTTCTAGGAATTTCTGAAAACAATTTTTAAATCGCAGCGGCTTGCTCATTTTCCTTGTATTTTGTATATTTTATTATCAAACAAATTAATTCCCAACAGTTAAGTTAATTATTGTTTAGATTGAAATTAATATAACGATGTTTCATAAAAACCTTTATGTTTACATATAAACACATACATATATATTTGTATACATACATATATACATATTTGTATATTAATATTATTTATTTCATCAAAATTTAATTTTAATTCGTAAATTTTAATAATTAGAATCACGAATCAAAAAGTATTTTAAAAAACTTGTATGATGCAATTATACATTATGACAAAAATAGTCATTTATTAACATTACTTCTGATAATTCTATAATTAGACAGAAAAAGAATGAATGATGATAATTTATATTCCCTGATGATAATTTCTGATGATAATTTTGATGTTACGTGATCTTTTTTTAATAAAGTTAGTATTATATGTAGAAAACATTTTTATATACACAGATATTTTATTTTTATTTCAAAAAT